GCAGGGCTGGGGGTGGAGCTGGCTGGAGGCTGAGCTGGCTGGAGGCTGAGGGAGTGCGGAGGTGTTGGTGAACCACGTGGAGTGCCCACCTGGTAGCACATGGACCACCAGCAGTGCTATCTGCTTGACAAGGCTTGGCACCTCCATGCGCGGCTTCCCTTAAGGGTCCATAGTGCTGCTGGTGGTACATGTGCAGCCAGCTGGGCATTCCATTTCTTGCCCCCCTGGCTGCCCTGGCAATGTGTCCCCTGCTTGTGCCGGTGCTTTGAGGGGCACAGCCCCACACCACTGCCTTCAGTGCAGCCCTGCACACAGGAGGTGCATCGCTGGGGCAGTAGGTTGGTAGTGAGCAGTGGTGAGGAGGTTTTTCACACAGCTCCTCTACTGCCTGATGTACCAGGTCGCTGTGGAGGAAGCAGAGTGGCAGAGAACAGCGGCAAGCAGGGGGCCCACTGTTCCCTGCCACCCTGCTTTCCTCCCCCCACAACCCAGCATGGCTGGGAGTGGAGGAGCCATGTGAAAAACCTGCTTACCAAATTAAACCAAAGTAAACTCCCATGGTGTGTACAAGCAGCCCTGCAACTTCTTTGTTCAGCTTCAGTGAAAGAAGTGAAGTGTGTGTGCCAGGAGGGATTTGAACATACATAAATCTAGCTTTTCACAACGTCCAATACTTGATTTCTCAGCTGAGGTAACATTCTTTTAACATAGGTTTTGGTATGTAATATAGTTAAAGGTGGATCATCTCTGTGTTTGAATGTGTGCATGCGTGTACATGTGCCCACATACACATTTTCTTACACTTCCCTTCCTACCTGGTACTTAGAATTAAAATAATTTTATAATAATGCATCACCAGATTATGCCAGGAAGGATGTTACAGGGGAAAAAAAAGGATTGCAGCCTTGGTAAAGAAAACTCTTATATAAGAAAACAATATGCAGAAGAGTAGCACTGGGAACATGAGAAACCGGAAAGTTTTAATAGACAAGTGCAAAAATCAAGACCAAAGCTCCCTTGCATTTGTTTGGAAACTAGGCCCACATTAGGGCCAAATAGCACCTGTCCCTTATGTGAGAGACCAAAAACACTGAATCAGAACATGCATTAATTTGAGGGATAAGGAGATATAGACAGATGGATCTGAGTTATGTAACTTGATCTCTCACAACCCAGTGTACTCTCATAAATGAGTTAGTGTGAGATGAGAGAAAGAAGTAGATGTGGAGGGTGTAACTGGGCAACTTCCTTTTTTTTTTTCCTAGTTGCACCTACTCATTGGCCATGTCTATTTGATATTGAATTTTAAAGTCTTAACTAGGTACAATGCAGAAAGTATGTTTTCTATAGGTCTGTGTAGCCTGTGGATACCCACAGGCTTACTCCCATTTCAGCGGCATTATTATTCATGATAACTGTTTGCATACTTTCATGCTGCAATCAGCCAAGCTGTCCTTGCCTTCCTTGTCTTATGCAAATTCACATTAGGCAGAGTAAGGATGGGAGAAGCTTTTCATTTTGAAACCTGATATAAGTCTATATACAGTTTAAGGCAACCCGAGGATAAATTCCTTCATCCCATTTTTTTTTTCCAAAGACCCTGTTTATAGTCTCACATTAATTTTCATTAACACAACTTCTTGTTTGCTTGGGGATTTTTCGTTATAGAAATACGCTTTACTATGTAGACTTGAAAAAAATGTTATTTAAAGTGAACCCTAATACCGTTTACTATAAATTATCTGAAATTCATTTAAACACTTTGTTGGGTTGCACTTAAAAAAAAAAAATAAAGCTCCTTCTGAGGTAATACCTTTTTTGATCTAACATAGATGTATTCGTCAATATCCAAGAAATATTTGTGGTGAGGGGGAGAGAAGCATCCTAGCAGCATAATAAACTAATACCAGATTACAAAGGGCTCCCTGAACTGGAATTAACTCCTTTGTAAGCAAACCACATAATTTACTAGGTAAAGCTGGTCAGTTTGTCTATCCAAGTATATCACATGCATGGATACACACACACACACACACTCTGTCAAGTAAGGACAAAATTATTTGTTAGGCAAATATACATTTATATTACAAAGAAATACACACATTTCTAAAGATCACAAGTACTCCTATGTTATTAAAGCTACCAAGCCCCCACCCCCCCCCCCCCCCCCAATTAAGCAATTTCAGAAGTAATTGTGCCCAGGGAACATTAATTTTACCTCCTTGCACATAAATCCTGTGATGGCTTGCTCAGCGTCCTGTAGGACGTTGACAACAGAGCTGGAACTCTGAAAAAAAATGCCAGATATCACAGAATTCATGGTAAAAGCATGTGTGAACAATGTTGGTTTCAGAATAATGCCTTGTCCACAACAAAACATCCTTCATTGTCATTCACTGTCCATACATAAAACTATAGTAGGCTCTCAACTCTGCTTCATGGCAATATGGTAGAACATTTCGTTGCATTTGCTTGACCAAAAGTTGGTTAAGAGAAGAGGCAAAGAAAATATTAGACTAGAGGATGTCATAGGGTGGGAACCAGTTTAGAAAATTCAAGATGGATCAGGGGGAAAAAATTACATGAAAGGCTGCGTAAAGTACACTTAGTGGTTTATTGCTAGACAAGGCTAGTTTTAGACAAGGTATAGGGAATAGAGAGGTATAGGGAATAGGTATAAAGATGGAATGAAAATAGGCATATGAATATCAATTAGAGTAGAATGTAATATCTATTTAAAATCTAATATCAATTAGAGTAAAAATTAGGAGTATAAAAATCTGGGTTGATCTCAGAATCTTTATTCTTCAGCCTTGAACTATGGTTCTTGCTGAACAGCCAATCTGTCAGTGAACTAAGGTAAAAGCTCTTTCAAAACTTAATTTAAAACTGAGGTGAGAAATCCTTCCCCCTAAAAGACTGGACACATGTTCAAGGGTTTTTTTTAGACTTTGGGAATTAAGAGAAATAATTTTTTAATTCTCTCAAATGTTAATAATATTGTTACTCATTTAAATGTTCACTTCATAAATTTTACTCATTTGCTTGATATGCATTGCCTCTGTTTGTTGGCTCATTTATTTTTTTTTGGTTTTCACTATTCAATTTACCATTAAAATGTATCTAAGTTTATGTATGTGAGTATTTAAACTTGGTGGGACAGGCTTTTTTAACATTTATTGGTTCCCAGAATATATCTGAGCGTGAACACATGCTATGTCCTTAATGATGAGGACAAAATTCCTGTAGAGCAAACAGTACCTGACTTATACAGGCAACATTTGTAATTGCTTTAAGATGGAAGAGTGAAGCATGGCCAAGCCTTAAAACAGGATGAAGGACTGCAAGATTTTATTAATAACATAGTGGATACTTCATAAATTAAAACATTACATTTCAGAAACAAAAGATGACTGCCATGGTTTAGAATATTTTTGGGTCCATTGGTCAGTTTTCAAACCAAACATGATATGCAGTCGACAAATTATTTTTGCTGAAGCATCAAGTGGGAGGGAGGGAAGAATGAAAAAAATATGATTTAACAGGTACAGAATGAAAAATGTGTCCACTCTATTCACCTGGCCATTATTCCACAGACATAGTGGGCCCTCTGACCTTGGGTATTCAGAGTATACACTGAATTCAGAAGCATTGGTGGCATAGTACCTGCTTCCTGCTGGAAAACATCATTCTGAAGTCCAGCTGCATCAGAAAGTTGCTAATTTATAGCTTCACCTGGTGGCACAGGGTGACAATAATGCTGCAATGTAGTCTTCCCAAAGATAAATGAAAAACTGCTCATCAGCTGATATTTGTTCTTTATTAGCCAACTGCCTGTCAGGAATGGCAGGACAGGGGAGAGCAGGCGAGGACAGAACACCACCACCCACCACCCCACATCACCGCCATCTCCCAGGAGCGGGGGGAGGGAACCTTGCCCTGCTGTCCCCTCCGGCCCCCTCGGCCAGTACCCTGTGCCACTGGCTGTAGGGAGCAGGGCCAGGGGAGGGGGCGCAAGGCAAGAACTGCTGGCCTCGCCCCCCCACTCTGGCTACTTTGTTGCCACTGCCTGCAGGCCATCACTGTTCTGTCCCTGCCGTCCAGCCACTCCATCCCTGCCATCATGGCAGTGGTCCGCTATGCCACTAGTGCCGCCTCCTGTCCAGAACTCTCTTGAAGCACTCTGATTGGTTGCTTCAGACAACCAATCAGAGTGTGAATAAAGCATTATGGACAGACAGACAGACTAAGGCTTTTATACTATTAGAATTTTCACTTCTTCCTTAACTCTTCCCATGGTTTTGTGCAGAGCAAGTAAAGGGGCAAATATTTTTAAAGTGTTTGTTTGGTTTTGTTTTTTTTTTGTTTTTTTAAATATCTAACAAAAAAATGTCAGATAAAGTGAAAGAACCATGGACTAGATTTATTGGAAGAAGGACCAGCAAGGAAAGCAGTTATGTAAACAGTTCTATAAAAGCATAGGTGGGAACTTAATTTATTTAATTTATTTAGACCAATGCTTTGAGATCCAGCACTCTTATGGAGGGAAAAAAAAAAAAATTTGGCAAAAAACCCTTACTTACATCTCTGTTGAGGATGCAAGCTTGTTTGTATAAGATCTTTAGATAGAAAGTATTCTAATATGAGATAGCATCTTTTCTCATTGTCCTGTCCACACTAACCTGAAGCCCAGATCTCCCTAGGCAATCCTGGTCATCTTCCTCCTCCTAAACACTTTCTTTTTTAGATACTTGGATCTGAAGATGATGGAGTTGCATAATATAAAGACTTGAATCTGACATGTAAGGGGAGGGAGTTCACCTACATCCCTGTACCTCTTTCTTCCTACTGGTGGTCTATTTAGCTGAAAAATCACAGAGAAGGGGGTTGGACCCATAGCTCCATCCATCCCTGTGCCCCCTTTGCTACATTATAGAATTATATTCCCTCTCACATGCTTTCCTTCTGACCCCATGATTCTTGCATTTCTCTCCATCCAGAGAACCTGGTTTAACAGATGATATTGAAAATACCTTCTGCTCTGCCTGAGAAGCTAGAGTGTGGGCAAGCGAGGCCTACAACCCAGGTATTCCATTTTCTGTAAATCCCATCTTAACTTAGATGGTGGGGGAAAAAAATGTGTGATTCCTCTTTTTCCATCAGTAAGAATCCAGAAAAGCAGCTTAAAATTTGTAGGCTTCATGGGATATTTTGCTGTTCTTCAGCTGTACTGAAGTGCTCTTACAAGAATATGTACTCCTACTGAAGTATGTGTCTTGTTGCAGTACTTCAGGGCATTAACAATAGTATAACTGGGGTCAGGGGAAGGTGCGGGAGGGGGTGCTGCCTTAGGGAGGGGTGCCATTTTAGCACCCCCACCCTGAGTCTTTGCCACAGCAAGAGCAGCCCCCACCACATGGACACAGGAGCTAGGCACAAGCAGCCCTGCACTGGCACTTAAGTGGTGGACAGAGATGATCAGTGACAGCAGCAGTCTTTCTGTCTACATGGCAGGTAAGACTATCCACTTTCCTCCTCCTCCTCTCACCTGTCTCTAGTGCTCTGCATCACCTCCCAGGGAGCAGGAGGAGTTTTCCCTGAGTGCAAAATCTGTTAGTTATACCTGTGACCAATAGTATGGAATTAAACCAGAGATGGCCAGCACAGCCTATTAAGTTCCACTTAAAGAAAGCCCACAGCTGATATAGCATGAAAAGAGAATTCTATATTCAGGATTAAATAAATTATTTTCAGTTTGTGAGCAATTATGTAGTAGGTAATTCACTTTCTGAAGGTACCAGACTGCTGCTGCCACATGCTCTACCCTGCTTTTTTTCAGGCACAGGTTTTGTTTTTTTTACAGGTTTGGCAAATTAGCAGCATGGCAAACACCTGCATGTGCAGCACGTGTGTTCTGCAGTGACACATATCGTATGTGTGCATTCATCTGGACATGCTCTCAGTGGGGATGGGTATAACAGGAAGCTTCAGTTTGAAAAGAAAGGCTTTATGAAGGAGAAGAAAAAAATGTGTTTGGTCTAGTAAAAGATATAAACTCTGGAAAGTGACTCTATATAGTATGGTCAGTGTTCGAATGTCTCAATGAGGGTTAAATCTGTAGCTCCCTCTGATATTGCAATTCATACTGCTCACCCACAAAATAATTTTATATCATATCTATAGTTCTTTGCTGTGATCTATATGAAAACATTTACTGTTCGTTTAATAGATCTTTTTTAGGTAATATTTTATAGATTACTATATATGATACATAATCTGGTGGCAAACTGAGTTCTCTGCTCTTTTATGTGCTGTGTGGTAGCATGCTGAATCCACTGGTAGGCAGTTTACCACAGACATTCACTGTGCAGAAAAGTTGCATGAAGTGTCTGTCACTGCTGAGATATGTTGTGACAAGTGTAGCAAATGCTATACTAGAGTCAACAATGAAATACTAGAGTCAGCTGTTGGTTCATAAACTTTAGATGATTCAATCGTTACAAGGTTATAATACAGATTATGAATTGACATTGGTAAAAGACTTAAGTGAAGTAAATACATCTTTATACATTTTAAATAAAGCCCTTTGAACTATAAATCCCTTCAGAGGACAGAGCTATGTACAGTATCAATTCTGTGGAGAGGAGAATTTCCTGTAGTTAACAGCAGTGTTGCTTCATATGGATAAAGACTCTTGTGCTAGCAATAATAATGCTTCCAGCACTTTTCAATTCCTGATCCTACAATCTGAAATGCAAAGCAGAAAAGCTGACATGAGTGACTGGGGCTTTAAAAACCTGCAGCAATCTATTGTACCGCTGTAACAATCCAAGTCCATAATATTATCAATTCAGCCTCCTCAGTAAAGCTCTTTGCAAATATGAAGAGAACCAAGGAAGGAAATGAGTGGCCATTCAAGGAGATGATTCAAAGATCATTCGCTTCCATTACTTCTCTCACAGCCTTTCTTAAAGCTATGATAAATCTTCTCCTCCCCCCCCCCAATAATTTTTGTCCAAATGTAGCATCTATTCAGACTACAACTAAAAAAGCACAGTTAATTTTAAAAAAGGCTTCATATTATTCATCTTCATTTTTCTATCCTAAACAAGCCAAGCTATTTCCATCTCCTCTCATAAGAGAAGTTCATAAGGTGAGGTCCTTCTTCATTTGTTTGATTGTACTAAGAGCCTTTCTCTGCTCTTATTCCAGGTTGGTTCTGGTGATTTTCAGTTGACTGGAATAATTCCACTGAAAATTGCCCAAGCCTCCACATCCTTTCGAGGCTGGCATAAGTAATCTCAGATTTGTGCTATTAGGAATTTTGAAGCATTGTACATTACAATGTGAAATGAGATCAAGAGCTCTCCTGTATGTTGTCTTCATTCCTCCTTGGTTGTTTGTATGTTGTCCTCATTCCTCCTCATTCCTCTGTGGTTGTTTGCCTCGGCTCCTCTACTCTTCTTCCTTGCCATCCTCTCTTCTATTTCCTCTTTGTTGTCCAGTACAGCAAGCACATGCTTGAATTTGCTTGGTGAGAGGGCAATAGGACAGGCCCTACGAGGAGAGACTGAAGGACCTGAACCTGTTCAGCCTCAGCAAGAGGAGGCTGAGGGGAGACCGAGTGGCTGCCTACAAGCTCATCAGAGGGGATCAACAGCAAATAGGTAGAGTCCTTTTCTCCCCAGCACCACCTGGGCTGATGAGGAACAATGGTCATAAGCTGATGGAGACTAGGTTTAGGTTGGAGATCAGAAGGCAATATTTTACAGTTAGGGTGGCCAAAATCTGGAACCAACTTCCCAGGGAAGTGGTCCTCACCCCTACCTTGGGCAAATTCAAGAGGAGGTTGGATGATCACCTGTCTGGGGTCTTGTGAACCCAGCATTCATTCCTGCCTGTGGCAGAGGGTCAGGCTAGATGATCTGTTCAGGTTCCTCCTGACCCTAGCTACTATGAAACTCTCTGGCTTAGTACAGAGGTTCAAAAAAACCCAAGGCAAAATTGATTCAATCTTCGCAGTTTTGTTGTTTTTTCCTAAACTGCCTAGATTGAACCGGTAATAAACTGAGTTCAGAGTTTGTGTGGCCAGGAGCCTAGGGAGGTGCTCATGTGCACCACCCCTCATGGCCAAACTGCCTAGGGTTACTGAATCAGCAGCCCAGGCCTGATTGCCAGCTGAGGTCTGGGAGGGGAGGAAAGGAATCACTCATGAGGGGTCTTCTTCCACCCCAGCTTCCAGACAGGCTGGGCTTGTCTCAGTCCTGCCTCTTCCCCAGGTGTCGGCCTCTGAGAGGAGGGGGTGCAAGTGAGGAAGGTACCAATCCCTCACTGCCCTGCCTCCCCACATGGGTTCTGCTCCACGCAGGGAAAAAGAACCCATTGCGGGGGCAGGGGAGGATGTGGCTTTTCACCCCCTTGTAGCGTGATCAGGCTGGGATCATCCCAGACCCACCCTTTCTCTGGCCCTCTGCCTTGGAGAAGGGCAAGGGATAGAAACCCTCAACCCAACAGCACCCCCCAGTCAGTGTCTGCCTGTCACAGAGAGGAAAGCACCTAATGTGGGGGGCTTTTCACATCCCCCCCACCCCTGCGCCCCCATGGCTGGAGCCTGACTGGGATCCTCCTGTTCTGCCCCTTTCCCAGCTATCACCTCCAGAGGGGTGGGACAAGGGGTGGGAACACATCCCCCTGGCCCAACACCACCCCCTCCATCTGGGATCTGCCTGGCACAGGAGGAAAGTACTCATGTGGGGGCTTTTCATCTCCCCACAGCTCAGAGCTAGGCTGGGATTGTCTCAGCCCAGCTCCTTCTCCAGATGTCTGAAGAAGATGTCTCCCAGCTGCAGGGAGAAGAAAAGTTCCCAGGTGGGTGCTTTTCCCAGTGCCAGGCAGACCCTGGCTGGGGGGTGTGGGCACTGACAGGACAGGGGAGTGCATTCTTACCTGCTTCCCCCTCTCTCAGAGGCAGAAAGCTGGGGTAATCCCAGCCTGGCTTGAGCTGCAGGGGAGCAGGCAAGAAGCTCCTGGGTGGGGGCTTCTCCTTCTCCCCCAGACCCTGGCTAGAGGAGCAAGTGCCAGGTGGGGACATGGAGATGTACATTCCCCCCCTCTAGCAGGTGGAAGCTGGGGAGAGGCTGTGGGGCTGAGCCAATCCATGCCCAGCTCACTGGGCTGCAAGGGTGGGAAGAAAAAGCACCCACCAGAGGGGCTTTTCTTCCCCTTGTACAGTCTGGGGCTAAGGGGGCTGGGCACTTGTTCCCCTGCTCTGTCCCACTGGGCAGACAGACCCAGGCAGGAAGCAGGCTGGGGAGCTGAGGCTTTAGTGTCTCAGCTCTGTGACAACTTGGGGTGAGACCAGCCTTGCTTTGTTGGAGCAGACAGCACAGGGCTGCAAAGCATCCTGGGATGCAGGGTGACTGTGAGCTAATATGAATTGGAAAGGTTCTTCTCTAGTAGCTTGTCTCTTTCTCTTATTGAACTCCTGGATATGCATTTCCATGAGTCAGTTTATTCATCTAAATGTCTCCCCTTCATGTTACAGGGGTGTAGGCTGTAGCCATGTTGGTCTAAGAACATAGGCAGACAAGGTTCTTTGGGTGAATCTGATATCTTTTATTAGACCAATTTAATAGTTAGAAAACAATTATTAAGCAAGCTTTCAGGTTTTTGAACCTGAAAGCTTGCTTAATAATTGTTTTCCAACTATTTAAGTTGGTCTAATAAAAGATATCAGATTCACCCAAAGAACCTTGTCCCCTCCATGTTCTCATTTTAGCAAGTATTTGAATTGCCTGTGCAGCCTACCCTCCCCTTCTGCCCCAAATCTTCAGATCCTCATATATATATTCCACCATTGTCTCTACCTCTATTCTTTGTTCTCATATCTTTTCTTCTATGATTTCTATCGGGAAACATTTCTTCCAGGGAGCTAACCAAGGATAACATGCAGCCCACAGCTTCTACATCTCATCCTCTTCATTATCTCTGCAGTTCTTTGGAGCTCCTCCATTGCTGTCTCAGTTCCCATCATTATTTTCTCTTCCCTGTCACTACTTAAAATAAACTCTACTTACTGCTGTTTGTTCAAGGTCTCTTTGGCTGTTGGCTGCTTAGCTTTATAGCTTCTTGCTTAAATCATCTCTGTCCCCTTAGTTAGGCTCAACAGTTAAGCATCTGTCAGCTGAGAACAAAAGTAGGAGTGACTTCATGTCCTCAGCTGTGATGCCTCCAGCCTACTCACAACACAGACCTCAGACAGATTCTGCAAGCTACACACTGCAAACCAAGCCAACTACCAAGTAACAAAGAACCAAAGTTCACTTATCAAAGAACAGGGACTGCTTCTTCCTCAATATTGACAAGTTCCAAGCAAAGTTTTCTGCCTACTTCTCTCTGTTCAGTGGCTCCTTGGTTGCTAGAATAGAAAAATATTGTTATAATATAATGTTTTAGTATTTGAAAAAATTATTTATATTTGGAATTTTTCCACTTTCCAAACTCACAACTGAATGAGCCTTTCCATTGTTTTTATGTCAACATTTTGAAATGACTAGAAAGTAGAACTTCAAAGAAGCTATGAATGATATATATCTGCAAAAGTACAAAGAGCTTCTATAATGAGTCTATACTGAAGTTTTCCCTCTTCTACCCAAGAGGTTTTTGGAGTACATATGCACACATAATCTGCCTAAACCTAAGAGGAGATGATGACTCTACCTAGTAGATATGTTCATATAGTTATCAGACCTTTTAATTATATGAATGCTGTACTGCAAGGGCTAAAGATCTATCAAATGCATAGCCCAGATACTGTATGATAGCTCCAGAAAACAGGATGTAGGACCTTGAACCCATGGCATTTGATGGGGTCGTGGAACTGGCAATCATATATATGTGATGTCACCACCAGACCAATTTTCATATCAAGTACCTTCCATGAATATTCATTTCAGGCACAGTTTTTACAGAACATGGTTAGTTTTTAACTTTATTATATATTCTTATGCAGAGCCTAAAAAGCACAATGAAATATGGTTTCAAAAAGGCATAGGTGTGCATTTGACCTGGAAATAATGGTGATACAAGTGTTACATATATATACACACACACAAGAGTACTACAAGAGCTGTTGTAATGAGTCTAGTAATGAGTGTGTATTTGCTAGAACCTCGATGTGTCTTCATCATTCAAACACTGAAATAAAAGCCATTCTTTTCAAAAGTGTGCATCAGCCAATATATTAAGATGTTTTTGAGAATCTGTCCACTGATAGTGGATTCTTAAATGGAAGTTCCTTTCTTGAACCAGGGATCTGAGCACTATTGAAAACTGGCTCATAACACTAAGGAAACTGCAGATATGTATGATACAAATCTTTCCTTCTAATTAATGTTATGCATGTATCCCTGTTACGATGTGGGATCATTCTTTTACATGTTTCTCAATATGATCATTCAGGCTTTCAAACATTTTACAGAATACATTTCCAACTTATTGTCACGTAAAACATGATAATACATTAAAGCAGAAGAACAGGTCATTGCAAAGCCTTCGGGGAAACAGATGTTGTGACTGTAAAGTTACAAGGGTGAGACAACAAGAGTATAATTATAAAAGGTTGACAGAGGAAAATAAGATTAAGAGTCAGAGGTGCCAGTGGTGTATTTAGCATAGTGAAGGCCACACATACTGTGCAGAGGGTGTTACAAGCAGCACTTGATACAAATGTTGTTTTTAATTAATCAGATTTTTTTTCTTTTCATAATGAATTTAATATTTTTACTGCATAGTATAACTGGTGCCACAAAAAGACCTTGTAAAGGACAATGATCAGACACTGAATTGAGACACTCTCATTGTGAGTGACAGTAAACAACTTTTGTATTGTACTGCAAAATTGTTTTGGTTTGTTTAACAATGGCTCTAGCAGGTGGCATGTGGTAGAGACTGGGTCTATCACCATCTCCAGGGTGCCAGACATTCCTCAAATTTTCTGTGAGAGGAATGTATTGGTGGGATTGAAATTGTAAAGGCACGCAAGCATCTGCTGCTTGCTTACTCTCATTACCATTCATACAGTTCACTCCTGCAGGGTTCAGCCTAGCAGCCAGGACATGGGGCTCTTTTTGAATGTTTTTCAGCATGAAGAGAGACCTAGAGCATCTATTTGAAAACACACTCCAATGAAGAGAAGATGTATTTATTTTGCAGTAGAAGTAAGACTCTGAAGGACAATTAGGAAAGTAGCAGAACAAAACCAGAAGGGAATTGGTGAATATAATATTAACGATTCTAAGTGGAATGATTTCAGGTTATTTCTGGCTGATTACAAGTTATCTATTCTTTCCCACGGTTTGGAAAAGCAAACTTGGACCCTTACTCCAACATTTAAAATAAATAAATAAATAAATAAATAAATAAAAAGCTTTACATTTGGGTCTCTCACATTTTATACTTCAGTCCATCACCATGTAACTTTCCAATAAATATAGTGAAGTCCTGGGAGGAATTTATTGAATATCTGGAATTTCTTTCTCCTCAGGATGAAAACTGATCCTTGTTGGAGGGGAGAAGGAAGGGGATCGATTTTGGTCTTAGTAATAAAATGTATTTCTCTCCCTTTTTTCTTCTGGAACCATAATGAAATTGTATATTGAACTCGTCTCTATTAAAACATTAACAGCTTAAGATGCCTGGAAAGTTTTAGAAATAATACATTTTAAGAAGTATTAGATGTTGTCACGGGGTGGGATCCCTGGGGATGACTGTGATGCCCCTAGGGCCCTGTGACCTTGCCAGCTTCGCCCTACGGGTGCCTTCTATTCTTTCCTGCCATGTGTTGATGGTTAAGATAATAGATGGTAGATAGAGAGGCTGCCCTCAAGTTGATCTGTAGTCATAGTCCTAGTGGACCCTCTTCACACCACTGATCAGCAGATAGCTCTTAGGGATTGTTAAAGCACAATTAACCCTTAAATGGAATGTGAAATATGAACACAGACAAATCTGTGTCCTAAAATCAAAGTCTAACTTTATTAATACACCAAGTATCATCTCAGCAGTTTCTATATTCAGAGAAGGGGTGGGGGAAACGAACCCCTCCCCCCCCCCACTTAATACAATGATCTCACCCAATTGCAGATGTTAATTTGCCTCAGAAAAAAGATGGCCACTCAGTTCCTGAAGGAAAGGTGTGTCATTGGCTAGGATGATCCAGACAGGTGTTGAAAGCTGGATGCATGATGTAAATGATGATGATGATAACGGCGATGCCACACTTAATTCTTGCTTCCCCCTTTTATGCTGCTTTAACTTGACTCCTTGCTTTTGGATTGGTCTCTCTGCAGTCAGCATATTGTTCATATTTCATCCTGTCAGCATATTCCTTTGTTCAACAGCTGCATTATGAGCACACCTCTTAAATTTGGCCTTTTTCCGGTGTCTTACTTTAAGCATGGTCTATTGGTCTCCTTTATCATCTTTCATTAACATATCCAATCATTTCATCCCTCTGATTCAGCCAAGTTCAGTTAATTTGAGCTAGTAGCAAAACTATTACTATGTTGTGTTAGAAAACACTCTCAGCGATAGAAAAAAGGAAAGAAACATCATGCGAGCAAACTCAAGGCTATAAGCTGCTTGCAGGAAACAAGGCCAGTTGATATTGGAAACACCAGCAAAATTAAAAGTTCAGATAACAATGAGACTATGCAGAACTTTAGGCTGAATGTAAAGAAAATTTTAAACAATGCTATAATTCACCGCTCTATAAACAGGTGCAACTTTAAAGCATAAAATATGACAAGCTACCCTAACAGACCCCACTAAACCATATGGGTTCTTAGACCCCTTGCTGGGTCCCGCTCTAAGTAAGTGCCTCATGGGACACCCCAAGCCTTATGGGCTAGACGCGTGGCTACAAAACCACCCCTTTACCATGCTCCATGACTTACAGATGGTATGCAGACATTGTCTCTAGTGATGAGGCCTCAGTTTAGTTCAGCTTCTTGTTGTCACTGGACCCTTAGCCTCAGTAACTATGCCCTCTGGCATTGTAGTCTCCTCACTCCCTGTTGCTGTGCCTTCTGGCACTGGGGTTCTGCATGGTAGTGTGCCCTGATGAGGCCTCCTTCTCCCAAATAGCCTCAGTCTGGTCCACCGGACTAAAAGCAACAACATAAATATGAGCCCCTGGGCTATAGCATAACAGCAACCAGAACACTGGAGGTCACACTCTGTCCCTTTAAGAGGACCAATTTCTCCCTCAATAATGTGTGCCTCCTAGCCCTGGACACTTTAGGAGCTCCTAAACCTCATAAGTCTCACCAGCAGCAGCCTAGACATCCATTAATCTTTGTGGAAATTTTCTGAATGAACTCCATTCCCCCTGGCAGCTGCCAAGACCCTAACTGCCTTCAATTCCAGCCCTGGGGCTTATATGGGCCCAGAGCCCTGCTTTCTTCCGGTCAGTTGACTCGGTGCAGGTGCAGGCTAATTCCCTCCTTAGCCTGACGCCACAGTAACCTGCACCTGTGGGGTTTCTGCCTGTCCACCAAGGCCCTCTCTCTAGGCAGTTTTTGCCCTTAAAGGACCAGGCACCTTAATGCCCTGTGACAGATGTTTTCTAAATGTAACCAAGTTACCTGAGTGCATTCAAGATTGCCTGTCATGCAGAATATTTACCCTCAAAGACCCCCACTGCATACACACACTGCTCTTTCCCCTAGTATCAGTTGTTGGGAAGACAGAACAGAGAAACAGACTTCCTAAAGATGCAAATTTAGTGTTATGCCAGGCCATCAAGAACTTTTAATTACATTTCAAATATTAATAGCAGTACAAAAATGCAGATGGAGGTTACAGCATATTTCATGGGTCCAGATTAGCAAGATTTAAATGCTTAAAGTGGGACTTGGGTGGAATTGTATACCCAAGATCTTTTCTATAGCCTCTTTCCACTCTTTGACTGGTATTTGTTTAAGAAAAAAATAACAAACAAGAGGATACTACTTCTGTCTTTTGACAGATATCAGCTTCACCAAGTTTTTCCATGCTCAGAAAGAAAGGAGCTATTAAGACAACTAGTCAAGACCTCTTCCCCAGGCAGTGTGTAAATGGTCTGGATTTTGCTGCACTGGTAACTAAAATTCCTGCTTTCCTGGGTCTGGTCACAGATTAATTCTAGATAACAGATAAGCATTTTCAGTTAGTCTTCAGTAGCTCACAGAATTGAGTAGAACTTAAATCTTGAATGAAAGGAAGGGAACAGAGCCCAGGGGCCATCTCCATGGTTGGCTGTTCTGAAACTGGGGGTGTTTGAAGCTTCTCTCTCTCCAGTTTTTAGGAAATCTCCATGTCTGGGTGTTCTGAAGCCTCAGACAGTGAACGGTCAGGGGCTTCCAACCCTGACTCAGTCTGTATTTCACACACATTGCCATATCCTCTGGAACCTTGAGCTACCAGATGGAGGCAGGCAGGTGAGCATGAAATCTGGCAGGTTTCCAATAGAAATCTGCTTGGCAAGGGTGTTCCAGTTGAATCCCATCAAAATCTATCATTTTTACAGTAAACCCATATCATTGCCATGACATGGCCTGTTTTCAGTGACATAGCAAAATCTGAAAAATGATTATTTGTTGAAATGTTTCCAGTCAGCTGCCCAGATTGTGGGCCAAATCCTATCACAACTGGTAGTCACCTAAATTGACTGATTTACCTATATATGATCCTAATCCATACTGCTTAAGTCCCTGAAAAACAATTAATGTCTTCCTTCTGCTTGTTGCTATGTGTGACTTAAGCCATGGGCAGATATTCCAAGTTTCTGGGAAATTTGTAGTGCTAGAAAGCCTAGTAAAGCCTGTAGTTTCCCCCTTGTCCCCATTTCTCACACATTCCCACACTGGGGTGACCCCAAACTCATAAATGCAGGAGAGCCGCTGCCCTGACATGAGTTGAGCAGCCTGTGTTCCTCATGTATTCCCCAAACCAGGCTTACCCCAGTTCAGAAAGGCTGTGGGAAGCCTTTTCCCACTACTTAACTCCTCCCAGTCCCCTGTAAGAGTGGAGCAGCAGTTCCTGCCCTCCATGCTTCTGTATGAAAAACTCCCATACAAGCATGATCTTTCGATTTATCCTGGAACTGGCACATTTTCTTCAGGATAAATTGAAGGACTGCTTGCATGCTCCCAGTTTCTAGTGGGAGAAAATAATTTCTCCTGCTAGAAATGTTATATCTATCCCTACCCTTAGCCTTCGCACTTAAGAATGCTAAGTACACTGAGGTTTCTAATGGTCAGAATAGAAATTTGGCCTGTATGTCATTAAAACATAGGCAAGGATATGTGGCTCTACATTTTTAATTGTCTTATTGTATTAGGCAAATAAATCCTGTACTGTTAATCAGACCTGTGACAGTTTTACATGCCAAAACAGCCTTTATCTCATCAAAATAATTCCATAAGTGAGGTTCAATATCACACCATAAGCAGGAAGCATTCCATTTTTTTACTATTCAGAAACTTTTAGTAGGAAAGCAACATTACAAATCTTCCCATTACTCAGCAGTTAAAGCAGCAATTTTGGCTTTTCCATATCAATTCTAATGCATCCCCATCCCTTCATGAGGCAGGTGCCTCTTCAGTGCACAGGGCAGTGCACTGAATAAGGAAGCTGAGTGGAGCCAATTCGACACTGCGGCTGCATGCAGCATCATGGGTCCCCATTCCTGAATGAGGGAGGCACCCCTTCGGTGCACAGGGCAGTGCACGGGGCTGAGAGAGAGCAGACAGGCCCAATGGCTGCACAAGGCTGCTTGGGCCTTTCTGCAGCAAGCAGCAACCAGGCAGGTTGACTACCCTGCCATTGTTGTGTTCTGGTTCCTTGTACTGTTGGAATTTTCACTGTAAATTTGTGTCCCTATGTTATATTATCAGAAAATTGTAAGTTGCTTTCTTCATTGTGTTGGTTATCTTTATGCATTGTATCCCATTTGATGTAATCTCATTTGTGTATTTTCAGTCATTGTCCCATTACTGCCAGAGTCTCATTTGTTGATTTGCTGTTTATCCTGTGTTTTATCATTGAGTGTTCCCTTGCCTGCCGCCTGGCAGGGACTGCAGTGCACACTAACCAGAAGGCCAAAAGGGATCAAGGCCTGTGCTAACATAGTGTTTTTGTCTGCCATATCCGGTTCAAATTGCCTGAGTTCAGGATTAATAAGAATTATTATCTTTGTAAACCTATATTTGTAAATATTAGGTAGGTAGGTAATGTAATGTAATATTGTACAATTAAACCTGTAAATTGTAAAGTATCACTGGGTGTCCCAGATCTCAGCTCTACTCTCCTCTCAGGGAAAGG